AATTCCAGTTTTCACTCCTGGAATATCCCTGTTTTAACTGTAAATGTGTTACATTAGAAATAGAGTAAAAACTATTCTTTTGAATAGAATTATTAAAAGATATTAACGTGACTGTTATTATTATTAACATTAACAAATGCCCGACCCTTGCCATTTGGAGGTGTAGTCCAGCATTTTTGAATTTAATGTGTAATCAAATTTAAAATGATCGTGAAAACAGTAATAATAAAACTAATAAATAAGAATACTGTAAATCAGCATCTTCAATCTGCTGAGAAATAACAGTGGGGAAAGGAAACATGCATTTATAGATTGGCATGCTTATAACAACAATGATAACAATACAAGAATATTTTGATGCCCTTAAACATCATATTAGGAATATGGCTGCAAATTGAACTGAAACTGATAGAACTTAAACAGAACTTGATGTGCATGTAAATGTAGTAATTTAATATTGATTCAATTAAATCTTGATGAGTAATGAAAAATAATTTATAAATTATTAATATAGTCCATTAAAAACTTCTAAAACACACCCATATACATATATTTATAAATTATCAACTTAACCACATCTGCATTATGAAACTGAATTATTGTCTTACCAGTTGTACAAATGGAAGCAGTTTGGCAATAATAGAGTTAGTTATCTTCTCCACTGCATCAAGTGCAGAAACAATGGTGGATGCATAGAAAGAGAAAATCACACGCAGCTGCGGACAGTTCCCATCCCTGACGAATCCAGAGTATGCCTACAACATGATTCAATAAAGCATTAAAGAATGCAGCATTACTGGATTGGCATACTTTAACCTGCACAGAACCCAGCCTGGGTTTTTTTACCTTTACTGAATCTGTGATCATAGAACAAATGAAATCCATGAAGCCTAAATCCTTATAGCAGTGTGTGAGCAGAGTTCCTCGGGCCAAGGGAACACCAGGTTTCTATAGATAAAGTACAGGGCAATTAGAAAAGTAACAAATTAAGCTATAGCTTTCTTTACACCAACTGCATATACAGTGGGGAAAAAAAGTATTTAGTCAGCCACCAA